GGGCGGGCCGGAGCAGTGGACGGACCGGTGGGGGCGAGCGGGCGGGCGCAAGCCCACCGAGCGACGGGGGCAGTGTGTCAGTATGCTCGGCCAAATAAACCCCCTGCCTTGCCAGTGGAGCCGCCAGGGCGTCCGTTCACATACCCAGGAGGGTCATCTGCGACTCGAGCTTGGACACGATGCCGCCGCGGCTGAACTGGAACTCCTTCAGGGTCTGGGCCGGGGGGAGGGGCACAAGGGGAGGGAAGGTCCCGTCAGAAGGCATGCGTGCGCGTGCGCCCGTGTGCGTGTGCGTGTGCGTGTGTGTGTGTGTGTGTGCGTGTGTGCGTGTGCGGGAAGCCATCGCCAGGACGAGGGCGTCGAGCTGGTAGGGCGCACCCGCGGGAACTCGGGGACCGTCTGCTCGACAACCGGCCCGGCAGTGGCGCTGCCCATCTGGTGCCGATGTGTCGGGTGGTGGTAATGGCGGTGGTGGCGATGGAGGTAATGCGACCTTGGGCAGAAGCCCCCTGTGGCGGCGGCGGCGGCGGCCGCGGCCGCGGCAGCCGCAGCAGCACCCGTGCTTGCGGCCGCCATGGGCTCCGCCCCCGGGGCCATCGAGGCCAGAGGCACGGGTTGGCCCGGGCTCGGCGGCACCGCCCCGGCTGGGAGGGGGCCCTTCTCACGCGGAAGCCCGCCAGCACCATGGCCCATGCCGTGGCGGGCCTTGCGATCGTCGGCGTCGCTCCTGCCCCGGGCGGAGTTGTCACTGCCATCGCTGCTGTTGCTGCTGCTGCTGCTGCTGCTGCTGCTGCCGCTGCTGCTGCCGCTGTTACTGGTGCTGCTGCCGCTGTTACTGGTGGTGGCGGGGGTGCTGCTAGTAGATCCGGGCGGAGGCCCAGGGGCTGGCCGGGCCGGGGCGGGCCCGGGCCGAGTGGCGGCCGCGCCGGCCGGCGACACAGCCGGCCCCAGGGCCACAAGCGGCGTGGCCGAGATCGCCGGCTTCGGGCCGGCCGGCAGACGAGCCGCCGGCTGGCGGGCCGCCGGGACCCAGGTCCCCGAGAGGGACCGAGTGGGCAGAAAGTCAATGGGGACATCGGCATTGAGCACGCTCCGATTGTACATGTGGCCAAGGCCAGGCGGCGGGCCGGGCAGAGTGGCCTGCGCCACATGCCCGGCGTGGGGCCCGCCACCGCCGTCGGCACCCCCGCCGGCGGGGCCACTCATGTCGGAGAGGTCCCGGCGCCGGCCGGGACAGTAGACCGGGCATTGGCACGCGGCACAGAGGGCCGCCCCGGAGGCACTGGCATG